GTACAACGTTTCGACAAGGATTTGATGACAAAACCTTGTCGAAACGTTGTACATTTGCTGTTATGTTAAACTTATATAAAGTTTTTCTTCATTACCCATTCAAGCCGTCTCCAACCATTATAGCTCCAGAAGCTCTTTCTAATAAAATTTAAAATAAAAGCTTCAATTGAAATTGAATATCTGATATTGGTGAATGAATATGGTAGGGCACTGTATATACACTTTTGTTTACTGTATGTTTTGCTTTCTCAACAAGAACTTAACACTTTTTAAGTGATTATTTATTTTAATCTATAATATACTAAGTTATTATATATTTGATGTTGTTTGGACCTGTTCAGAAACATGAGTGGTAACATTACATCTTTTAGAACAATTGTGACATTAACTGAAAGTTCATTAAAAGTTTAGGTCTGTATACAGAGTAACAGTAATGCTTTTTTTCTAACTTAGCCAGGGTTGTGATCATGCACTAGATTAAATCATTTTCAATCAGTCATAATGGTTCTTGTATGGTTTTAAAAAAGTCAGTGTTTGCTGGTTTTTTGGGATTAGTTTTCTATTTATACTGCTATATCCTAACTAAATTATTGTTTTATATCTTTTGCTTCAAGTGATTATGGGTTTCCATGTTTTTAAAGTTTAGTCCTCAGTTTTAGGGGTTTTACTGAAATTTATCTGATTTTGTTGTTCATTATAATACTGGCTTTGTTGAAACTGTCAACACACAAGTTTCATAAACCTGTGTTCCAGAAACTTTCTTAAAGTTTGTTTTCAATAACATTGTGTTTTGTTTATAAATGATCTTAGAGTGATATAATTTCAATTAGTAATTATTCCCTTCTAGAATGTACTATAGTAAATATACCTGTTACCATACTTCTTTGATCTTCTTTATATGAGTGCTTTGCAAGCTATTAATCTTTTTCTTTATGTGTTTGTTTTTTTTCAGGAATTTACTAGCGAACCACTAGATAAGTTGTACCTAGATGTTGTTAACAAGCAAGGAGAGAATATAAAGGTGTCAGCTTTGGTAAGTACAAGTTCCTTCTCCAAGCAAAATTCTTAACTTTGGTTTATTATAGTACCAAAATTTCTAATTCCCCTCGAGAGCTGGTATAAAGATATTTGTGACGAGTTTATACCGAAGAAAATCATACTTCAAAAATTTTCCACAATCCATTAGATGGAACTGTTGGTTAGTAGATTACTACCATTTCAGTTCTCATTAGACTTAGGTTAATAGACAACGTGTCTTCAAAAGATGAGAACCAACTCACAGTAGAAGTGTCATTACAATGTTCACACACCAGACCTTTTCATTATGTTTGTTATTTAATGGGCCATTATATGTATGCATGCTTCAAAGCTATATTTGCACCAGTCAGCTGTGAAGTAGTTAATGTAGTAATTATATGCAGTACATGTACTAATATAGCAGAAGTTAAGATTCAGTGAATTTTCCTCTCCTTCAGACTAATAGAGAAGTATTTGTCAGAACAGAAACTAAAATTAATAATTTTTATCTCTACAATATTGACATACTGTGACACCTGGCTTAAAAAGGAACAATCCATCTTTTTATATCGTATAATATAAAAACAATAACTTAAAAAAAAAAAAGGATTGTAGCAAAAATATGCTTGTTTGTTCTAAATATTAGCATTGTTCTTGTTTATATATATATATGTACAAATGTGAAAATTTTTAATTTTGTAGCGCCACTTTGTATTATGGTATCATATCTCTGATCATCTTAGTAGATGGCTATATGTATGTTATTTTGTAAGGATACATTGTATGTGTAATCAGTAATATTACATCTAATAGTTTTAAGCACTTAGAAGAGACAGTTTAAAAATGTGTGCCATTGAATTTAGCATAACAGTAACATTTGTAGAGAGAGACACTGCTATAAAGCTGAACATAGTACTGGTAGTGTTATTAAAAGAAATTTACAAGTTGAGTAGCAGTAACAATACCAAAGTTTTCTGATTCGTCGGGTGTTGTTTAGCGACCAGTAATTTTCTTATAATTTTTAACTTGTTTTTAAAAATAGTCAGCATGAGAGTTTGTACTTATAATATCTTTGTGATTTAAGTAAGTTTATCGAACACAAATGTTCTTTATTGTTAGTTATTAATAACTTTCGATCAAAAGTAAACCACAATATGATAAACAGAGGCAAAAAGTATAATCTATAATAATTAGAATGCATTAAATCTTCATTAGGGTACCATTACTGTTAACAATATAATCGACCATAATCCCGGTGATTGTGAGAAATAACAAGAATAATAATCAGTCATTTTGAATATTTTTTGTATAAAAAAAATTAATGAAGCTAAATTAAAGAAAAATCTGCTTTCATGTACATTGTATCAAGTAAACTGTTTTAAAATAATTTTGATATATTTATCTTTACTTTGTCAGAATAATAAAAAAAATTCATATATATACGTTTTTATTTTTATATCTAGCATAAGGGATTTGCAGAACCAATAAATTTTATCACATATAAACCTCCTCCTGCTATAAAATCCAATGTGAAACTAGCTGACCACGAAAAGAATGATCTGGAAAATGCTGCTATTGAAGAGTGGCTGGATAGAATGGTAACGATAGAAGATGACCTTCATCATCTTTTAAAAATGTCGCATCATAGGTATGAAGTACAAAGCTCAGTGTTTTATTAATAAACTTACATTTTAATTACAATGCAACACAACCAAGGGGAGAGAGGAAATTAAACTGGTATTCAAGGGGATGATTACATTTTGTTTAGATAACTAAATATACAAAGGACACATAAATACGGAGTCTCGTTTGGATAATATTTGCATTTAGTGACTAAAAAGAATCTCAAATTTTCTTTATTTCTTATTGTTTTTGTATAAATATACGATACTGATCACACAAACAACATGAAATAGAAAGGAGGGAGGAAGGGGAACTTTTCAAAAAATAAAACACATTTTGTAGGTTTCTATTACATGTACAAAGATTTTTCACAAACTAAACAACAAATTGTAAGATACAAAAAATTAGTCTTCCAACAATCACAAAGTTTTTAATTAACTAGTTCAAAGGATAACTGATAAAACCATTAAACACATTCTCTCACACTCCGATGCACTGACAAAGATATAACATGCTTTTCACGATCACCTCTAAAGATTACCAAAAGAATTAAAGTGCTTCTGTACTCTCTTTTTTTGTTCACATTTTCTCTTAGTTTTCTTCTTCTTTTTGAAGCCTTTTTAGTTGAAACTTTGTCGTTGTCAAGATCCAAGCTTAACTTCCTCATGGACTTGTTCTCTTTTGGTTCATATCTGTGAAGAATTACTGCTTGATTTTTACCTATTTTGGTTTATTAGACACTTGGTGAGTCCCATGATTGGTCAGACACTTGGAGAGTCCCATGATTGGTCAGACACTTGATGAGTCCCATGATTGGTCAGACACTTGATGAGTCCCATGATTGGTCAGACACTTGATGAGTCCCATGATTGGTCAGACACTTGGTGAGTCCCATGATTGGTCAGACATTTGGTGAGTCCCATGATTGGTCAGACATTTGGTGAGTCCCATGATTGATCAGGCACTTGGTGAGTCCCATGATTGGTCAGACACTATGTGAGTCCCATGATTGGTCAGACACTTGGTGAGTCCCATGATTGGTCAGGCACTTGGTGAGTCCCATGATTGGTCAGGCACTTGGTGAGTCCCATGATTGGTCAGACACTTGGTGAGTCCCATGATTGGTCAGACACTTGGTGAATCCCATGATTGGTCAGACACTTGGTGAATCCCATGATTGGTCAGACACTTGATGAGTCCCATGATTGGTCAGACACTTGATGAGTCCCATGATTGGTCAGACACTTGGTGAGTCCCATGATTGAGTTGCTTGTATTTTATCTTGACTATTTTTTCTTTAATCTGACTCTTTATGGTTATCTCTACTTTTACCTTTCTTCATAAGGGGAAAGTGTTTCACCTGACGAAGAAAAGTCCACCTTTCAAAAGTGCTCAGTTTATAGGGTTCTGTATTTTTGTCTTTGCTTTAGGCATTAGCAATTTCTACCTTGTAGTTTTCATTTTGGTTTTAACCAATTTACTACTTTTGTAGGCCGTTAAAACTCAAGAATCCTGTTTCATGCTCTTTGCAATATTTGTTGTAGTTTTCACACATTTTTTCTTTAACTCCTTATTGTAGATATAGTTAATATTTTCTCCTCTGTCTTTTGTATTATTAAATGTAATGACCTTTTTGGGTGTAACTTGGATTATGCATTCAGTGTAAAGCAGACGTGATTTTACAGTGTCACTGAACATAACCGAGTAATTATCGCTTTACATAAATCACTAGTAAGGCTTGTCTTAGGTGTATTATGTACAATTTTGGTCCTTTATTCTTCCATACACCTTTCCATCTCCAGAATCATCCTCTAGCTATCCTCTGAACCATTTACAATAAATCAATATGCTTTCTTAAGTGTATGTTCTAGAACAGCTTCAAAGGAAAAAACAAGGGACTAGCTGTAACATGAAGAGTTTATGTTCTAGAACAGCTTCAAAGGAACTAGTCCCTTGTTTTCTGTCTATAATGTTAGAGGGAAAAACCCCTAACTATCCTTTGATTTCATTATTTTATATCCAATTTCAATGAATATTTTATCCTTCCCTTTGTTTCAGCTGAACTTCAAGCCGGTATTGATGCCCTGATGACATTCTTGTAGTTACATTATTTGTTAGTAAACTATTAAGGCCAGGATGCTGCTTAAAATATAAAACAATAATTAATCTTTTGCCAAAAAAAAAATTAGTCACAGAAAATATTTTGTAGATTCGCTTAAAATATTCTTTATCCTCGTTATCTTTGATTATTGTGTTTAATTTCACAGTTACACTTGTATTGAAAAAACTATTATGTCATTGCAGATTAAATGCTTAAGACTAAGAAAAAAATTACAAATGCTGTTAGCAAAAGTAAACCCGTGCACATTGAGAGTATGGAAATAAAAAGAAAATGTTTGATAGGATATTTTTAAAGTAAACTCGGTATATTTTTTTGTTTTCTTTTAATCGTGTGTGATTTTGTTTTATTTCTTCTCTTCCCAAATCAAATTACATAGTGACCGTAAAAAATGATATTCTGCTTGATTTTACAGTAACTATTTATTTGTCATGAGCAAAAATTTAAAGATTTTTTTGTGCATTACATGATTTTGTTTGTAAAATCTGACTTATATTAAAGTTTAATATAATTTTTTGACAGCTAGCTAATAATTCGCTCTCTTCAGAGATTCCTACCAATGTGTATGTTAGCAGAATTTCAGTTTTTATGTATGAAAACTGCTTGTTCTTATTTATGAAAACAGAATGTAATCCTTTGTACCTATTGTTCAATGTTTGACAGCAGCTAATGAAATGTGTTTGATATATTACCACAGGTTTTGGTCCCAAGTGGTGTTTGATGAGACTTTGAGAAACTGTCTTGGATCCTACTTAGCTTATGCTCCAAGGTAATAACTTTAGCAGATGTACTGGTCAAGTTTGCACAAAACTGCTGATATAATTTCTTTTTTAAGACATAAAGACAATTCATTGTTTTGATAGATTAGATGTAAGAACAAATCTTTCAGGTGTTTCTGATACAATGGACTACATTTCGCTGGTGTTTTTGGTGGGTGATGTTTCATTCTCATTGGTGAAGGAAGGAACCCTAAATGCTGTCTATATAAATATATTAGACCAATGAAGGGGGGCCAGTGTGTTGTTCACAACAATATTTCAGGTCAATGACACAGAAACTAAAGTGTTGTTCATTGCATGGTTCCATGATAATGAGAAAGAAACTGATGTTCACTATTAGATTTCAGGATGTTGACAAAGAAACTAAAGTGATGCCCACTGAAAGGTTCCAGGCTGATGCAGTTCATTGCAGTATTAATGCTTGTCCTATGAAAATCATCTTTTAAAATAGTTTCACACACACACATATATATATATATAATGGTTCTGTTTATTGTATGTCCATGTAACTACTTCACAGGTGTGGATGGATCTTCACCAAATTTGGTATGGAGGTTCATTGGGTCCATGGAGAGATACATACAAATTTTCAGTTTTGTGGTTTTTATGGGCATTTTTTTTTTGTTTTTACCACTACTTTGCCCCTTGTTGATGGATCATCACCAAATTTACCATGAAGGTTTGTTGGGTCCATGTTAAGATGCATGCAAACTTGTGGTTTCACATTTTGTGTTTTGCAGTTTTTATGGAAATTTTTTTTACAATTACATATAAGAAAAGCAACTTTTCATGTCCTAAGATAACCTTTCATTAATGATGAATTTATTTAACTTCCATCCAGAGGACGGGTACTCCAGCTAGTATAACAATAAACCTGTAATTCTTTGGTGTTTGTTTTTTGGGGGAGTTGGAAATTAAAGCTTACACGTGAACTTCAAGTATTTAACATTCATACATTTTATAGAGTGGTATTTTACTATATGTCTACATTGTAGCGTTTGATATATCACTATATGAAAATGAAGTGACTACAGCAAAGAAAAGTTTTATGAAGAACAGAATAACAAAGTAATAAAAAATAATTGGTTTTTTATATTTTCAACTTTTGAAATTATTAATAGTGTATTTCAGGTGTATGGAATGATGCTTTCATTTTGCCCGTGGATGCAGAATGGGCAGTAGATCTGAAACAAGGGAGTCTTAAGTTTCATGTAATACACTTTGAAAACTAGTGTAAATTAGCGCTGACCAGATAAAAAAGATCATAGTTTGGGTCACTAAATCTCAATGAACAGTTAATTTTAATGAAGAAAAATTATTGAGTGGAACATATAAAAAGCTATTCAAAAGCCAAAGTTGCAACGTTAAACTAAGCAAAATGAAATAGATTTCATGTCTATGAACTTGCAAAAAAAAAAGACTGCAGGAAATACTTGGAGAGTTTGTAATATAACCGGTGTGGTTGGATATGTATGGACTTTATAGTAAAAATCAACATCATTGAGTTGGCCAATGTAAGGAAGGTTTTGGATGTGGTATTTTTGTTATAAAATTAATATTTTGATACTATATAAAATATTAGAAAACTTGATATTCTACTTTCTTTCTTTTCTTTTTTAGGTTTAACATTTTAAAAGTCAAATTCAAAAATAATCTCAAAAGCTTTGAAGTTGGCTGGGTGTGCTGACCATCAAAGTTGCTACAAATAAAAATTGTGATGGTGGGCCATATGTTTTGGCCCAAGTATCCCTGTGTTAAGGATGTATTAAATTAATACTGGTGTAAATAAAAACAAGTAGTCTTTACTTAGTTACGTGACAATGATAAATCTCATGAGATTTATTAAATTTTTTGCCATGATTGAGTATAAATAGACAATCAAACTTATCATTTTGCTTCAGTATTTGTTGGCTATTGATCACACTTACTGGCTACTTTATCTTCAACACGTACTGCATCATAAGAAAACGTTTTGTACTTTCCAGATGCACGTCTTTATACTCTCATTAGTGTTTAAAACTTTCTGTTTTATCCAGGTATTATGATCTAGATGACTTTATGGTGACTGAGGAAATGAAACAGGCCTTTCAGCGGGTCCACAGGTTGGTCTTTATGGTGTACCTACGTATGTCTACGTACAAAGAGACCAAGGCAAGATACTTACATTAGTTTCAGTAAATGTTAATATTATAGCAATACAATCTAGAATATTAAGAGTAATGTGATATTAGATATGGTCTTAAACATTAATTCTTTTTAGTTTTAAATCTGTTTTCAGTTTCATTATGAAGTTTATGTGTCTGTTTTAACATAACTAAATAAAACTGAGATGTATTCTAAAAGATATGACTGAATTGGTAGTTATTGAAAGACAAATACGAAAAGGTAAAATACTAGGCGAAATTTGTAACTTGCTCATCATGAAGTACACTTGTCAGATTAACCTGGTTGTTCTCAGTACATTTTCCCATAGTGTTAGATTGTTTTGTATTCACATACTGTGTGCGCCCGGCATGGCCAGGTGGTTAGGGTGCTCGACTCGCAATCTGCGCGCCACAGGTTTGAATCCCTGTCCCACCAAACCTGCTCAACCTTTCAGCATTATAATGTGATGATCAATCCCACTATTTGTTAGTAAAAGAGTAGCCCAAGAATTGGTGGTGTGTGGTGATGACTAACTGCCTCTAGTCTTACACTCCTAAATCATGTAGCTTTGCATGAAATTCAAAACAAAAAAAAACAAACACATACTGTGGTACATGTTGTATTACCTAATTTTAAACAACAAACAAAACTAATGATAGAAAAAAAACGGATTTATACTACCAGAGGGCCTCATAAGAACAAATTTTTATGATAAATAATTTTTTTTAGATACACTGGGGCCAAACAGTTTAAAATAAATTAAAAAGGGAACGTATAAAGGCAGTGTAAGATTTAATTATGAAAGGGTTTTGGTAACAATATAATTTTAGTTTACAAGTATTTAAAAATAATTATGACCAAGTTAGTTTTGGTCATGTAAAACTACAATGCTTACGAGTTAAAGAATATGACTTTTTTATAGTTATGAAACTTTTTAAGGAAGCTATATGTCTAAAAATTTCACTTATCTGAAAATATTTAACTTAATAAATTACTTTTTTTTTATTGTAAGTCCTTTGTTTTATAGTCTGCTCATATTACGCCAAAAGAGTTTGGTACGATAATTTACGATCACTACCTTTTTGATATTCCAAAACTGATGGATCTCGCAGTACTCTACTCTCCAGGTAATCAAGCTCTTCTACATAAAATGGTGGAAAATATTTTTACAACACAAAGATCATATGAAAATGACCTCTCAGAAGCTGTTCCGACAATTTTGGAGGTATGAATTTTATTGTTGTACCTGGTTTCAGAAAATAATACGAGTTTTGAGAATGTGTCGTTTCAGACTTATTTTAAATTTAGGTACTCTTTTTTCTTTATGATGTAAAACATTTATTAGTGGCTCCTCAATGAAACTATTTCAGCAAATGAAAAGCCTCATACCAATACAGTGAGTTTATTTATAAATACATTGTTTGTTGTTAAGCGCAGAGCTTCACACAATAGGCTATCTTTGAGACTTACCATTGAGCCACTGAGGAGCTATAAATAAACATCACATTTTACAAAATTAAAAATCTGGGCAGTGGTTTTTATACAGCTCATTTCATGATGTTATTTAGGGAATAAAAATATGGTTTGGTTACAGCAGTGAAATAGTAAAGCCATCAGCATATTTATGCAATTTGTTATCATTGTATTATTACCATAAGAGGCCTAATCACCACACAAGTCATGACAAACAAGTTTGAAATACTGCACTGTTGATACATTTAAAGCATTTTTGTAAGACTTGCAAAGCACCCTATTGTAGAACTGGTCACACTTCGTATACTACTTGGATACTTTTCATTTTATTGGAGTGTATTTCTAGCTGGAATTTAGTGTAGTTCACTCAATTCTGTTTCTGCGTAATCTCGGTCACACAATTTACAAGTATCGAAGAAACTCCTTCAACTTACTCCTTTCAGGTTTATGTTTCTTGTGGACTATTCTTTTAATAATGAGGTTATATCATATGTTGATGAAGTGAATGCCAGTTTTAAACGATGTGAGCTAAAACTAAAGTACATCTTAGATAGGTATTAACCCTCCCTGTCAATCGTATGAGGCCCTGGCATGGCCAGGTGGTTAGGGCGCTCGACTCGCAGTCTGCGGGTCGCGGGTTCGAATCCCCGTCACACCAAACATGCTCGCCCTTTCAGCCGTGGGGGCGTTATAATGTGATGGTCAATCCCACTATTCGTTGGTAAAAGAGT